GAGTCCAGGTGGTTGAGTATCAGATTGTTCCATCTTGTTTCCCTTTGGGGCTGTTGTAGGAGACCTGGAAGTCTGTTTTTGAGGCTTGTTTACATGTCTTCTCATTTCCATGGGAGGGTGGGGGGCAGTGCTGCTGGCCCCTGTGCAGCTCACCTTCTCTGCCCTGGGAGAGAAGGCACTGGGATTTGCTCACCTCCTCTGCCCTGTGAACAGTGGAATGGTGGCAGTGGAGCCTCCTCCTGGCCGCTGGGATTGGGTTACCTCCTTTGTCCTGGGAGCGGTAGTTTTGGAGGTTTCTCTCCATTACTGGCCCCATTGCCTCGGGGCCAGCACATCATGGTGAGGAGACAGCATATCATGGTGGAGCAAATCGTACATCTCATGGTGTCATAGAAGCAGGAAAAGAGCCAGACTTCTTAATACAAAATAGAATTAGATTCTATAGTCCATTTTAATAATACATTCAAAAGTACCAAATTTTAGAAGCCTTAATGCCACACTTACACTTAGACATGACAGTTAAATTGGCTTCTGTCATATGTAAAAATCAGTCTATGCAATTGCCTGCCTGTCACTCAAAACACTGTGGAGGGAAAATGCATTTTCAAATCAGTTTAGAATCCATAAAGGACTCTAAATCACATTTTGAAAATCATTGAAATGTAGGGTGGTTCTTAGTTATGGTAAAGTAGAAGGATGTCAGAAGTTTCAAAATTTAGTTTTGACTCTGTCCCTTACTAAGTGTGTATTCTTGGCCAAGTTCCTGAACTTCCCTGAGCTTTATCTGCCTCCTTTATAAAATAAAAATAATATTTTCTATATTAGTTGGTTTTAAAATTAAGGGAGAGGGTGCGTACAAAGCATTCTATAAACTACAAATCCCTTATGTAATTATTAGAATGTTTACCAGGGTTAGACTTAGAGAAAAAGTTTTGCTTAAAGCAGGGTTGTGTCATTTCATTAAAAACAGAGCACCCCTGTGGGAATGAGTTTTGCGAGAGGTCACAGAAGGAGAAGGGAATCTTTCTTTTTGGTGCCTAATGATGCCCAGATGAGGATGGTGCCCAATTCTCAGGGCTATCAGTGAGGACCGGAATTCAGGTCTTTTTCTCCCCTGCTATTTTCTCTGAATCCAATAGGACCTCCATTCTATTCTTGTTTTCCTTCTCAAATCCAAAAGTAGAGGTCTTTACAGTGACCCACAAGCAACACTTCCCCACCCCCATTACCAACCTGACCTCATTTTCAAACTCTCCCAGTTGTCACTATGTTTCCCTGAGCTGTGTGGCCTCCCAACTGTTTTCACACACTCCAGGCAACACAACTCCACCCAGCCTGGAAGTGCTTGTCATCTTCAGATAGTTGCATGACTTGCTCTGCCACATCCTCCAGTCTCCTCAAATGTCACCCTTCCAATGAGGCCCTCTGTGTGAAACCTTTATTTAAAAGTGCACACTGCTGCTTCCCACTAGTACTCTTTTTTTTTTTTAAATTCTTTTGTTGGTACATTGTAGGTATACAACACAATTACATTTCTCATTGGGAATTGTACCTTTATATAATGCATCTTGGTTCTTATTTTTTCCCC